GCACCTGGCAGCACAGGGCAGCCCTGGGCCAAGGGCAGGCTCCTCTCCTTCTGTCTGTCCCCTCCGGCCTCTCCCAGTGCAGGGACCAGAAGGCTCGGATCCTAGGAGGCCCAGGCAGCTCTGTAGGAGGCAGAAGGGAGAGAGAAGGCCGAGACCGGTTTGGCTCAGTGGATAGAGCGTCGGCTTGGGGACTGAGGGGTCCTGGGTTTGATTCCGGTCAAGGGCATGTACCTTGGTTGCGGGCATATCCCCAGTGGGGGGTGTGCAAGAGGCAGCTGATCGATGACTCTCTCTCATCGATGTTTCTAACTTTCTATCTCTCTCCCTTCGTCTCTGTACAAAATCAATAAAATATATTTAAAAAAAAAAAAAAAAAAAAAAAAAAAAAAGAAGGGAGAGAGAAGCCACTCTTTCCTATGTCTGCTACAGGTCCCAGCGAGAGCAGACAACCAAAGGCTTGCAGGTCCTGCCGGTGTTTCCAGCGGCAGGAGCTCCGGGCGTGGCTGTGGTAGAACAGTGGGAGGACGGGCTGGGGCTCCACCTGTCCCGGTCCCTCTGCTTCTCGGCCCCTCCCACAGGTCCCCATGCGAAGAGCCCCCCTGCGGGCCTGCTCTGGTCCCCCACCCCCGCCAGCTCCTCTTTATATTTATGTACAGCGGGGAAATACACGTGACCTTTAACCTTTTACCCTTTCACTGCATGGTTCAGTGACATTTAATACACTGACAATCTTTGCAACCATCACCACAATCTAGTTCCAATTTTTTCCCCCACCCCAAACAGAAACTGTGTTGTTCACGGAGCAGTCACTTCCCACTCCCCCTCTGCCAGCCCCTGGCAACCTCTGTTCTACTTTCCGGCTCCCTGCACTGGCCTCTTCCAGGGGCCTCGAGAGCAGAGGCGTGCAATCAGTATTTGCCCGTTCGTGTCTCTCTCCAGCACGGTGTCTCCAGGGTTCCTCCACATGGCAGCCTGTCTCCGTACGGCCGAAGAACATTCCAGGGGTTAAGGACAGCACATTTTGTTTGCCCGTCATCCGTGGATGGACATTGGGACTGCTTCCACCTTTTGCCTACTGTAAACAGTGCTGCGACCACCATTCACAAATGGTTTGGAGTCTCTGTGCTATAGACTGAATGGTTGTGCCCCCCTCAACCCCCACACAAAAACAAACAAACAAAAAACAAACTCATGTTAAAACCCTAACACCCCAGCCCTCACCGGTTTGGCTCAGTGAATGGAGTGTCAGCCTGTGGACTCAAGGGTCCCCGGGTTCGATTCCAGTTAAGGGCATGTACCTTGGTTGCGGGCACATCCCCAGTAGTGGGTGTGCAGGAGGCAGCTGATTGATGTTTCTCTCTCATTGATGTTTCTGACTCTCTCTCCCTCTCCCTTCTTCTGTAAAAAATCAATAAAATATATTAACAAAACAAACCTAACACCCCAAAATGATGGCATTGGGAGGTGGGCCCGTTGGGTGATTAGGTTATGATGGTGGAGTCGTCATGACTGGGATCAGCGCCCTGAAACAAGGGACCACAAAGCACATCTTCACCTCTCTGCCATGTGAGGACACCGGGAGAAAACGGCCATCGATTAGCCAGGAAGAGGGCTCTTACCAGATGCCAACTCTGCCGTTGCCTTGATCTTGGACTTCCAGCCCCCAGAACCACCAAAAACACGTTTCTACTACCGACAAGCCCTCTGGTCTCAGGTATGCCATTGTAGTAGCCCGGACAGACTCAGACGGCCTGTTTTCGGCTCTTTTGGGAGTGTGCCTAGGAGTGAACTGCAAAAGTGTGTAACCACAGAGGGGGTGGTGAAGCGGCCAGTCCCGGCAGTGCCAATGCATGGTAACCCGGTTTGGGTATGAGTTACAGTCCCTCTCCTACTGGGAGAATCCCAGTTGCTGGTAAAGGGTTTTGGTGTGATGGCAGATTTGGGTGCGTTGGGGTGTGAGGGAGGACGGTGGGGAGGAGGGAGGTTCCTTCCTCTGTGCACCAGCGCTGTGTCACTTGATGGCACTGCCTTTGGACGTCAGTTCTCATTTTTAAGTTTCCCTACCGACTCTCAGGGAGGATCTGAGCACCGTCTTGGTGGCGTCGTTTCGTCCCCTATCTCCTGTGATGGCCTCCCTCAAGCCCTCCTTCTAGAAGCTGTCGCCAGAAGAAAAAACCGTAGTTTTTCGGATTCTGGATGTGACATTTGTTCAGTACAAAAAAGTGGAAAGAAGGAAGTATTCAAGATCTTGTACCCTGGCATATGTTGACACTTAGGCTCAAATTAACTCTTAATTTGAGCACCACAAACAAAACAAAAACAGAGGAAAATGTAGGCCAGGAAGGGGAAGCTCCCTGGTCTGTCCCTGCAGCCATTGCTGCTGGCGTTCTGGTGTCCAGTTCTAGCGGTGTGCTCGTTCTAGAAGTCTCTGAAGGCTGCCTCCCAGCGCAGCCCTCTGCCCAGTGCCTCACGTGCCCACCGCTCCAGCAAGAGATGTGCCTTCTTTCATATGAGAGCAATTCACACAAAACAAAATGGTTTCAGCCCCAACCCCTTATTCAAGTTGGTGACAGCTTTCAGTCCTGTAAGAAAATATTAAACATGTCCTTTCACAAATTAATTTTCCACTTTCTTGTTCAGATCAAGGGCTAGCCAACCTCTTGTGAGCCAGACGGTCAGGATTTTAGGCTTTGCAAAACAGATGATCTCCAAAAACGCCACTCCACCATTTGCAACATGAAAGCAGTCAGACACATGTACATGAATGGATGCTGCTGTGTGCCAATAAAACTTTATTTACATATACACAGGAAAGAGGCTGGATTTGGCTTGAGGTCTATGGTTTGCCAACCCTGGTTTTTTAATTTGTGCTAATTCTCAGTCCCGGCATACCGAAAATAAGACAGTGTCTTATATTAATACTTTCTCCCAAAGTTGCACAAAGTCTTATTTTCAGGAGATGTTGTATCTTTCCATGAGCTAGGTCTTATTTTTGGAGGATGTCTTATTTTCGGGGAAACACAGTAGTTGAGAAGCAGCTACACAGAGCTGCACTCTTGGCTTTTCCTCACAAGTTGGGTTGAGGTTAATGAATGAAGCTGAGAAAGATGGTGTTGGCTGAGGCAGGGGGGAGGCTGGGCCTGAAGCATCATAAAGGTTCTCACACGGGGGTCAATTCTAACACCCAGGTCACTGGTCGATGTCTGGACACATTTGGGGGTGGGGAAGTGCTGCCCACATTGGGGTGGGTGAAGGCCAGGGATGCAGCTCCACACACACACACACACACACACACACACACACACACCATGCACAGGACGCCCCCTGCAGAGTGATCTGACCCCAAAAACCAGCAGTGCCGAAGCAGAGACACAATGACATATCATGAGCATGCTCACTTAGAAAGCCTGCTCGCCCGAGTTGTGTCGTATGGATTTCTTAATGAAGGTGTCATACACGCAGATGAGAAAACATTTAACCGAAATGTTAAAGGAACACAAAATGTAACAATAGCAAGCAAGCACCCGGCACTCCTCACGGTCCACGGCCCCGACTCTCCCTCCAGAGACATTATCTTTCTAGGTTTTTACAACTTTTAACACAAATTGCTCTGTATCCCACACATTTTGACCTATTTTCGTTTTTAAAGATCATGGCAATCTTTCCACATGATTCATAGGAATTGTTCCTTGGATAGTTTTCGGTTCCAGCACAGCCGCGTGTATCTGGCGCACCATCGCTCCCCCTGCAGCACTCTGGAGCCCCTGCTGAACTGAGCACGCAGCACGCCAGTGCCCACTGGACGGGGCTGAGCCAAGGTCTGAGCACCGCACTGTGGGAGTGAGTGGGCAGGGCACCCCCCGCAAGTCTCCGAACACTGAAGGACCCCAAACAAGCCTGTGGTTTTCACCTGTTTAGGGAAAGCCTAAAAGCTAGAAAGCAGAGATTATAACGAGAATGTGGTACTAATCCAGGTCATTAAGACTAAGCAAAGGACCGGGGCTTTGGGGTGTCTGTCCCCTTTAGGGGCCCAAAGCTTTTGCACACAAATGGGGGGAACGGGCCAGGGAAAGGCGTCTGTGGGACCCTGTCACAGGAGCTCCATGGGAATCCCTAACGAGGACTACGATCATGGACTTGGAAACATGGGGATGAAAGGGTCGGTGTGTGGATGGGAACTGGCAGGTTAAACCCATCTATGGGAGAGCCGTGTCCCCTTGAACTGCGTGGTGTGGGAATAGCTTCTATGTCTGACTGGGGACTGCTTCCCTGACCTGCAACTGTAGCTCCCAACCTGCAGGCAGGAGGCAGGTCAGGAGTGGAAGGAATAGGGGGGTGGGAGGTGAAGGTGAAAATGTGCCTGGTGAACATGTGTTAGATCAAGACGCATCTCTTCCCAGAATGCAGGGCGGGGATGGATGCCACATCTCACCCGGAGCACCACCCCTCCTGGTGCCATGCCGCAGCAGCCATGTCCACGGGCACCAGCAGGACTGCCGGAGCCCACGGGTGCAGACGGGAGCTGAGGAGCAGGGGAGGCAAACTCTCCGTGGCACAGTCCCGGTGGGAGTGGACTGGAGCAACGGCAAAGCCCGCAGTGCTCCCACAGCTGCTGCGGGACATGGGGCCGATGGAGAATTTCCAGGTGAGGACCAACCCCTAACTTGCTGAGGACATTGAACAAAACAGCCCCGCGACTGGAGGACAGGAATCACCTTGAGAGTGAAACACTCAGTGTCTCTTCTGCTTCCCCCTTACAGAGAAACGGAGGCTCAATTGCCAAACAGTTTTATTTCTTAAATATAAAACAAGATTATCACACAAAAACAGCTACACTGCTGAGCTAAGTGACTAAAGTGCTTGAGTTTCCAAAACTTCACCCCCGTGCTCTGGCACGGATGTGCCTGGACAGTGCTTTCTTCCCGGGGGCGAGGGCCGCAGAAGGTCCGCGGGGCTGGGTCACACGGTCCACGGGGCTGGGCCACGGCCCGCGTGCGGCTTCACAGCGCGCAGGGCTTGTCAGCGCCTGAGAGCAGCGGCCTGCTGGCCTCTCCCCAAGTGTCCCCTCGGGGGTCCTCCTCGTTGAAATACCACTGGCGGGGGGCCACGGGGCCCTGGGCCTCCTCCCAGACCTCCTGGTTCAGTAAGGCCGCCTCCTTACTCACGCCGGCGGAGAGTTCCTGCACCTGGGCGAAGCTCCTGTGGGAAAACAGAGGGGTGACGCGCTCTGCCCTCCGTGTCCGAGGGCGGAGGGGGCCAAAGCGCCTCTGCCTTCGCCACGGCGGCAGCGCGGAGGCAGCGGTCCAGGCTGCTTCCTCCTGGGCACTCACGATGAAAGAAAAGATTCATCTGTTCAAGAAACAAGTGTGGCTCAGGGGTTGAGCATCAACCTATAAACCGAGAGGTCATGGTTCATTTCCCAGTCAGAGCACATGCCCGGCTGGAGGCTCGCTCCCCAGTAGGGGGTGTGTAGGAGGCAGCTGATGATTTTCATCATTGAGGTTTCTCTCTCCCTCTCTGAAATCAATTAAAAAAATATATTTTTAAAAAGAACCGTGAACGGGGCAGTATCCCAGCCTGCCCTCGAAGTACACGGTGGTAGGGACACAGGTACTCAGTGAGCATGTTTAACCACGCAAAGCTGTGACCTCTGCACTGCAGAATGCTCTGGTGGTCCCGGTTTCAGGCGGGGCAGAAGCAGCTAACTGCACAGCGGGTGGCGTTTGATTTCCATCAGCACCTTTCAGATATTTTAGGCATCTCAGGGTGAGCTCAGCATTGTAAAGGAGAAGAAAACAAGATTCTTTTTGGAAGATGTGAAGGAAGCCCCATGGTTAGAAAGCCCCTGGAGGACAGGGAGAGAAGGAACCCGGGTGATGGGGGGAGGGCCTGGCCTGGGGCTGTTTCCACGTGGGCACACGCTGATGATGGGGAAGCCCCTTGAGTTGTACCCCTACAATCTGCACCCTTTCTCTATGTACTTCCACTCCAATAAAAAGTTCCAGAAAGATCACCCAGGCCCCTCCCCTGGAAAACACTGAAAACTGACCAGACCGATCCAAGGCGCCTGAGTGCTGTGAGGTCCTGAGGCAGTGAATGGGGGTGACACCACTGCCCTTTCTATTTGGCTGTTGGGGAACTCACTTGGGGTTTCAGGTGGGCTGAAGGCTTTTACCCACTCCCTTCTCCCGGCTTGCTGGACCCTGCCACGCCAGGGCTGCCCGCTCTCTGCACAGGGCAGCCACCAACGGCACATCTCTGCCTGGTGGGAGGCTATTTTTCTTTCCTTTTTTTTTTTTTTTTTAAAGTAATATTATATAATTATATATATAATTATATATATACAAATATAGTGATATATATATATATATATATATATATATATATATATACACTATCTTTTTCTTAAGCTATGTTTTTATTGATTTTAGAGAGAGGAAAGGAGAGGAAAAGCATCATCAATTGGCTGCCTCCTGCACGCCCCCTACTGGGGATTAAGCCTGCAAACCTGGGCATCGAAACTGCAACCTTTAGGTGCGTGGGACAATGCTCAACCAAATAAGCCACATTGGCCAGTCTCCCTCCCCCACCTCCCACCCCCACCTTTCAATCTTCACTGAGGATATGCTTATTGATTTTAAAGACAGAAACACTGATGTGAGAGAGAACATCGATGGGTGTCACCCCAAATGGGGAGCAACCCAAAACCTTTCGGTGTACGGACATGCCAGGGTGCTATGTTTTTAAAATATCTTCTGAGGTACCTTCGGAGCTCCAGATCCTTCTTCTGGGTCATTTCCTTCAGTTCTCCCAGCAGGTCTAGCACTTTCCCATTTTCTTCTGAACTGCAGACCCCAAGTTCTCCCAACAGATGGTGTGTGGTCGTCAATTCCCGCTGCAAATCATCTGAGGAGAGTGGGAGAGGGCATCAGCCATGGGCTTCACGGTGCCCAACCACCCTATGAGCGAGGTGGCTGCCTAGATTGTTCTCATTCCCCCGGAACGAACGCTCTCCTGTTACGAAGGCTCAAAGGCTGAGAGCCATGAAGGACAACATCCGTGCACTGGTACCACCGCTGTGCCATTTGCCTGAGACCCTGGGTCAGGCATGTCCATGGGTCAGGCGGTCACTGGAACAGACCTGGATGCCACTCCAGTGTCCCCAACAGAAATGAATGAAAAACGTGGAGAGAGCCTGACCTGTGAGTAACTTAAAAAGAATCCCATGGTTCCCTTTGCTACAGTACCTCCCGCCCCAATAAGTATTGCCTGCAACTGTGCTGAGTCCCACCTGCTGGACACCAGTCTCTCCCATCCTGCCACGTCCCATCTACCAGCTGCACGTGTACACACATCACAACCAAACACTGTAACATTTTGGGAACCTCATAAGGGATCTCACAAACACACCTCTTTCCTCACAATGTGTTCTAAATGTGTCCTCCCAAAAAGATATTGTTTAGGTACTCTCCTCAAGTGTCTCAATGTGACCTTACTGGAAATGGAACTGAGTCAGAATGAGGTCACAGGGTAGGTAGGCCCATTCCAATAACTGGGCCCTTTAAGAAGAGTGAGATTCAGATACAGAGGCAGCACTCAAGGCACAGGGCGATGTGAAGATGGGGCAGAGAGAGGAGTGACGCTGCCGGCAGCTGAGGAAGCAGCGGGAGAGAAGCTGGAATGGGTTCTCCCTCAGAGCCTCCAGAAAGAACCAACCATGCCCCACCTTCATCCTGGACTTCCGGCCCCTTCAACTGAGGGGGAATAAGTTCCTCTTGTTTTAAGCTCCCGGGTTTGTGGCCTTTGTTACAGCAGCCACAAACAACTCATACACTCCCTAATCCCGACCCCTAGCAATATCCTAAGGAGCTTTTCTGAAACGCAGTCACAGAGTCACAGATGTGCCACTGACTGCAACAACCATCCGACAGGAAACCCAGACACAGAGCGTCATCCAACTTTTCAAGATCCCATGTCAGACATACACTACTTCACGCGGGAAAAGGCTTGATTTTATTAGAAATCATCTTTGTCTGGAAGTTAATCTGTCATTGCTTAGGGCTGGGAGATAAGCAGCGATGGGAAGTGACAGCTAATAGATACTGAGTTTCTTCTGGGGGAAACATAAATGTCCTAAGATTAGAGTATAGTAATAACTGCATTACGAATATATTTAAAAACAAGGAATTGTACACTTCAAATGGGCAAATTGTATGGTATTTGAGTTATATATCAATAAAGCTTTTTAGAAAAGTGCTTAAGTCTTTGTCTGAAGCTGCCAATACAGCAACAACCTTTGTGATCCTAAGCTGCGTTTGTGCAAAGGTCTGCAGGGAAAGTCCGCCTGATTCAGGCAGCAATGTTTTACTGCATCAGCAAAACAGAGTTAGAGGCTCATGACAGCTCTGCTTAGAAGTAACCAAACTCCAGGGCAGCTGGAAACCTGCTTTGGGAAGACAGCAGTTCTAAGGAGAATTTTAAGATCAAGCACAGCACTTCACTCCTGCCCATTTCCTTAGGTGAAGGATAGATGGGACCCTCTGCAGGAAAGGCCCTTGGTTCTGTGTGGAAGGCAGAAGGTGGGGGTCTGCAGCCCTATCACTGCCCCATCGACAACGCACCTCAGTAGAGCCCCCTCTCAAGGCTGTGGGGTTGCAGGCTGCTCCCCAAAAACGCCTTTCAGCCAGGTAGGAAATCCACAAGGAAACCACAGGCCTGGGTTCCAATCCCAGCATGGCTTTCCTGGGGTGCCACCTGGACAAACCAGTCTTGCCAGCACCTCCATCCTGTGCCATGGGAAGGGGGGTGTGCCATCTCCCTCACACGAGGTTTGTGAGGATAACATGAGGAACAAAGGTGCCGGCACGCAGGAAGCGCCAATATCGCTGGCGGTTCTCCCCGGTCCCTGCCCAGCAGACGCCCCGTCCTACCTAAGAACTTGTGCGGGCCTCCGTCCAGGTGGACTGCTCTCACCGGCAGCTCATGCCTCGTGGTGTCCAGGGCTGTGGCGAATGTCTTGTACTGCTCCTTGAAGCTCTCACACACGGCCTCGTAGGGGCTGAGCATCTCGATCTGCGGCAGGAGGGAGAGGGGCTGGTGAGACGAGGCAGTCACTGCCCTGGAGTTTCACGCTTGGCACATGTGAGGGAAGACACAGGCTGTTCTTACGGGATCGAGGGATCCTCCAGGGGGTTCAGCGGGTGGGTGGTCCCTCCCCTCACTCCTGGCCACCTTGCTTGCCATGAACATGCGTCCACCTTCCAGCGCACTCCAGGGCCAGCCCGCGGTGGGACCACAGGGGACCCAGGAAGGCTGTGCCCTCCTGCTTGGGAGCACGGGGCTGGAACACCTGCCCCACCTCAAGGCCATCCCCACCGACTCCCCTTTCCCTCCTACACACTATCACAGGGCAGTGTAAGGATTCATTGTTTGTCATTTTTTCCCTTCCACTCGTTTCTCAGCCCACAGCTGGGCACATGCACGAACATGTGCACACTGGGTGTCACAGGCTGAATCCCGTAATTCTTCGGTTGACATCCAAACCACCAACCCCTCAGAATGAGACCTGGTTTGGAGACAGGGCCTTCACAGAGGGAACTGAGTCAGGTGAGGGCATTAGCGTGGGCACTGATCTAAATGCCCAAAGTCCTCATAAAGGGCAGAGAACTGGAGACAAACACACACACAGGGGGACACCAAGTGAAGAGACAGGGAGAAGACAGCCTACAGGCCAAGCAGAGACCGAAGACACTTCCTTTCCTCACGGCGCTTGGAAGGAGCGTACGCTGTTGACGCCTTGTTCTCGGACTTCCAGCCTCCAGAACGGAGAAAGAGTAAGTGTCCGCTGTTTAGGCTGCCCCATCTGTGGGACTTTGTCATGGCAGCCCCAGGACATGCACACGCTGGAGGAGCTACACCCTCTGGTCAGCCCTTCGCTTCCAAGGGTTTGCTCCTTGACCTTCCTTGGTGTGGAAGATGGTGTCCCAGCACTGACCATATGGTGCCAAGACTGTGCCTCCCAGCACTGACCATATGGTGCCAAGACTGTGCCTCCCAGCACTGACCATATGGTGCCAAGACTGTGCCTCCCACTGCCCCCTGGCCCTGGGCAGGCCTGAAGCATGTCTTCTGTCACTGGGCAGCTGTGGGCGCCTGAAGGATATGTGTGTGTGTGTGTGCGCACGCGTGTGAAAGGACAGGTGCCTCTGCAGGCTGGTACCTAACGTTATGGGCATATCCTCTCACAAAGAGTTACATACCAATACCTGGTGGTGTCAAAAGCCAAGCACAAACGTAGCGCCAGGCCAGGAGTGACCACTGTACCTTGTCCCTCCAGACATGGCGATGACCCAGCGGGGACCCTGGCCACACTGACCTGCGGGCTGAGGACATCCAGCAGCTCCCGCTTCTTCTGGCGGAGAAGGAGTTCGCGCTGCAGCTCGTGGGCCTGCTTCAGCAGCTGCTGCTTCTCCCGGCACATCATCACTAAGTGCCTCTCTGCCTTGTCTTCAAACGCGGCAAGGCTGTTCTCCATCTGTTAAGTGCAGAACAAGAGCTCAGGCCGAGGGGACTCATCTCTTGGCTGATAGCGGCTGCCCTTCCACCCAGGTCACACAATGCGGCTCCATTTTCACCTTCACGGTCAGGAGAGTCAGGAGTAATGTTTGGGATTCCATCAATTCGGAGAGATCCTGAAGGAGAAAGAAAAGACACTCTGGTTCCCAATGAACTGGTATATGTCCAGCTTTCTTCCCCGGGAGGGAAAGAACGCTGATCCACACATACTTTATTTCGTTCTGTGATTCGATAATGCACTACCTCATAACCACCTGCCGTTTCTATGATCTGTTTAGCTTCTGGGGGCTTTTTGAGAAGAAAGAGGGTGGTGTCCCCTCCCATTCGGCACCACTCTGGAACCAGGACTCAGACCTCCCTCTCCAGTGAGACCACAGCCTGGACCTCTTCCTGCCAGGGACGGACGGGGTCTGGCCTTGCACCTTCCCTCGCATGGCACCGCGAACAAGGTCCCAATCTCATTCTTCACATGATTCTGCATCTGTATCTACTCCTGTATGTTCTTGTAGAAGCAAACTCTTTAGCCAAAAGAGCGTCGGCCTGCGGACTCAAGGGTCCCAGGTTTGATTCCGGTCAGGGGCATGTGCCTTGGTTGCGGGCACATCCCCAATGGGGGGTGTGCAGGAGGCAGCTGGTCGATGCTTCTCTCTCATCAATGTTTCTAACTCTCTGTCCCTCTTCCTCTCTGAGAAAAATCAATAAAATATATTTTTCTTAAAAAAGAAACAAACTTTTTAAATGATCTAAGAATATGTTTATTTTTGTCCTAAAAGGCATGTTTTTGGAGCCCCAGGTTTCCCAAAGCACCTGGCACAGGGCAGGAACTAAACCAGACTTATCCAACCCATTGGCACTTCCCTCTCATTTCATACACTTACTGGGTCCTTTTCCTGCGAGGCAGAAAATGATGTCGACTCGGTTTTCCTTGGCGTTTTTTTTTCTAACTGTGGAGTCTTTCTGAGCATACTCTTGTCTAAGATCAAGGAAAGCATTTTTAAGGCGAGAAGAGCGTCCTTTGGCAGCTTGCTAAGATGCACTGCCACCCCCAGGTGGGAAAATGAGGGGTGAAACAAACAACTTACCGTTGATGGCCGAGAGGTCCAGGTGCGGGGGGGCGGTGCCGTGTCCTTCCAGCAGCGTGGACTGCAGGTCGCCTTTGTCGAAGATCCCGCTGCTTTCTGTGGGCTCAACGAGAATCCCGCCACGTCAGCATGGACACTCAGAGGCTCTGCACCCAGGCCGGGAAGCAGGCAACCTCTGGACAATACACCTGCTTCTAAGACTAAGCTTCTTGCTAGGCAGTAGAGAAGGCGGAAAAGCCTTGGGAAAGTCCCAGCCATCAACTTGAATATATTTTAAAGAACTAGACAAGAGAGGCATTCTGTAAAACCCAAAGATGCTTATTTAATAAAAACTGCTGTGTGCACAGTATGAGCCTAGTGCATGCCATGTGTTTGTTCTGCCCTTGGCTTTCTCTCCTTCTTTCTCCAGCTGCTTCTGGACTGTTCCTCTTCCCAGGAGTCCCCTTCATCGTTTAGCCTCTGTTTAAAACTGTGCAGTTGTGCTTTACACCACGTGACACGGGCAGAGGGGCCCTGCGTGCGTTAACTCAGCAAGGCCCCAGAGTGCGGCAAAGCGAGCAGCGGCGTGTCAGATACACACTGTCAGGTCAGGAATTAAAGAGAAAACAATTTCATGAGCAACTATGCAGCTGAGGAATAAATACGAGGAAATAAAAAAAGCAAAGCAAAGTCACAAACGTGTAGGGCAAGGTACCGTTTGTGTTAAAAGTTTTAGAAAATTCTAGACAGATGAAAACCTATCAAGAGCATCTGCCTCCTGGGTGAGAAGCTAGAACCTGATGTGGAAAAGGGTGATGTTTTATTGCTATGGTTTTGCACAGGTTAAATGTTTTGTCATCTGCATATACAGTATTTCCATTAAAAAATGTAATTTCCTATAAATCCCTATGACAGAACTAAAAAAGCAGCCCTTCTACACCACGGCTATGCCTGAATTCTGGTATATGCCATGTGTTTAATTCTGGGTAATTCTTTGCTGTGGGCTGTCCTGTGCACTCCCGGGTGGTGAACAGCATCCTGGGTCACTTCCCATCACACTGACTTCTTCTGCAACTACTCCGGACATTGTCCAGTATCCCATGGGGGTCAGAAATGCCCCAGCTGAGAACCCTGATTTTAAACGTGGCAGGCCCCATGTTGGGCCCCTCGGGCCATGCCATTTCTCAGCTTTGTGCAGGGCGCTCAATTAATTGCACAACAAAATACTAGAAGATGATGCCTGCTTCTCAGTCATGCCTGGGTCAAGAAACAGTGCAAATTCTAACATCTAACCCAGTATTAGCACACTTATAGCTTGCAGGCCAAACCCAGGCCACTTTCTATGTTCATGAAAAGTTTAACTGGGCCCTGGCTGGTTTGGCTCAGTGGATAGAGCGTTGGCCTGAGGACTAGAGAATCTTGGATTCAATTCCAGTCAAGAGCACATGCTCAGGTTGTGGGTTCGATCCCCAGTAGGGGGCGTGCAGGAGGCAGCCAATCAATGTTGTTTTTTTCTCATCATTGATGTTTCTCACTCCTTCCTCCTTCCTCTCTGAAATCAATAAAAATATATGTATTTTAAAAGTTTCATTGGGACACAGATATATTCATCCATGTATATACAGTGTGTGGCTGCTTTCATGCTGCAAATGGCAGAGGGAAGCCTTTGTGACAGTGTCTGTCCTGCAAAGAGGGAAATATGAACCATTTGGCTCAGAAAGGGTTTGCTGACCCTTGATCTGAACAATAAAGTTAAAAATCCAAGTTGCAGGAGAACTCAAAGCTGCCACCATTTTGAACAAGGAGGTGAGGGCCAAGGAAGAGATCTGCCCTCGGTGAAGCGCTCTCATGCAGAGAGCAGCCAATCAGCTGCAGAGGCGGGCACGGCGGCACCGGACACGGCTGCTGAGGGAGGGGCCTCCCGGCCTCTCGTGAACACCAAACCCACCAACAGTGATGGTCTGATTGGCAGACTGTGAGGGAACTTTCCTTCGTCAGCATTTTCCATTTTTTAAAATAATGAACACATGCCACATCTATAATCAGAAAAACTGAAAGCTTTTCATATCACTGCGGTGACAGCTTTTATTTATTTTTAATATATTTTATTGATTTTTTTACAGAGAGAAAGGAGAGAGATGGAGAGCTAGAAATGTCGATGAGAGAGAAACATCGACCAGCTGCCTCCTGCACACCCCCCACCGGGGATGTGCCTGCAACTAACGTATATGCCCCTGACCGGAATCGAACCCGGCACCTTTCAGTCTGTAGACCGACGCTCTACCGCTGAGCCAAACCGTTTTTTCAGCTGTGGTGACAGCTTTTAGATGAAAAACATAGGGAGACCGTTACAAGGAAAATGCGACGCAAGGCCGTGAGAAGCAGGAGGATGAGGCTTGCACCTTTTCTGGTCCTGGTCTTGGAGCTCTGGCGAAAGTAGTCCCTTGGTTAAGGAACTGGTGCCCCCAGGAAGAGCCATTATGGCAACTGGGCTCCTCCCTGGGGCCGCACAGGAAGAGAACCCCACCCCACTGGCCTGCCATCCCCTTTCAGCTCCCCGCGTGCCCCGAATCGGTCCTTACACTTTGCCCAGCTCTTCTGTCTGATGCTTCCAGAAGGAAGAGGGGCTTTTAACTTAGCCTACTTGAAAACGTAATTCACCACCACGCTCAATGCCTAGCTCCACGGCTGTTACGCCCTCCCCCCATCGCCGCTCACCTCTGCTCTTCTGGAGGGAGCTGGGCTTCCTTCCGCCCTCAGGAACCTTCCCGCTGAGCTTTGAAACGTCTGCGGCAGAAGCCTGCTGGGAACACAGGACACTCAGGGCACACGATTCTTTCCCTTTGTGGATCTCCTCCCTGGTCCACATGAGGTTTCTCACATTGAGGTTTCTTATTCTTTCCCCTTTCTCTCCCTTCCTTCTACTCGTTCTAAAAACCAATGAGGGAAAATCCTCAGGTGAGGATTAATAAAAAATAAAATAACCTAAGATAAAATAAAATACTACATGCAGCGAGTAGACACACGGGGGCGCTATAACCAAGTTTGCAAGGCAATGTTAAAATTATGACGTGTGGACTGTGATCCTTTGTTGAGTGTTACTTTAATATGTAAACCACGCATTTTGGGTTATGATGTGTCAACGCAGGTTCACCAACTGTAGATAGGCACCACTCTGGTACAGGATGTAGATTGTGGGGGAGGCTACACACGAATGGGGTGGGGAGGTACCCTCTGCTCAATTTTGCTCTTTGTTAACCTAAAACTGCTCTAAAAATAAAGTCCCAAGAAGATGTGGTAAATATACACAATGAAGTACTACTCAACCATAAGAAGAGGTGAAATACTGCCATTTGCGACAACATGGATAGACCTTGAGCATATTGTGCTAAGCAAAATAAGTCAGTCATAAAAAGCTGAGAGCCATATGATTTCACTCATCCATGAGCTATAAAACTCACAGACACAGACAGCAGTCGTTACCAGAGGAAAGGGCTGGGAAGAGGGTAAAAGGGACCAATATATGGTGATGGGAGATGGTCTGACTTTGAGTGGTGGGCACACAGGCAATAGCCAGACCTTGTATCACAGAACTGTACACTTGAAACACATATGGTCCTATTAACCAATGTCATCCCAATAAACTTTTTAAAGACCATTTTAAAAAACCACTCCAAGAAGCGTATCAAACAGTTTATATAAAACTATCCTTTTCCTTCAAACTGCATTTTAGGTCCCATTTTTAAGAACCCACCACCCACCCTATCCAGATTTTAAAAGAGTGGAAATGAATATTTAACTAATTTTTACCATAAACAATTATTTGGAAAATAGAGGGATAACATGACCTTCACCTCAACACATTCTCAGTAGGTACACACTGAAACAAAATATATAATAGGGTAATATACTGATTATTTTTGCTTGTTTTAAATATATTTTTATTAACTTCAGAGAAGAAAGGAGAGGGAGAGATAGAAACATCGATCATCAGAGAGAATCGCTGACTGGCTGTCTCCTGCATGCCTCTGACTGGGGATTGAGCCTGCAACCCGGACATGTGCCCTGATTGGGAATTGAGTAGTGACCTCCAGGTTCATAGGTTGATGTTCAACCACTGAGCCACACTGGTTGTGCTAGTTTTTTATTAAACATCATACAAAGTATGCTCTCATGTTGTTAAGCGTTTCATGCTGTCATTTAAGTGGTTTCGCAATTTTCATGGTGTGACTACAGGTAGTTCATGACACTTTCTCTACTACTAGTGTTTCAGGTACACCATTTCCCCCAGTCGTTCCCTATAACCCTGCAGGTATATTTTTAAATACCAGCAAAGGTCAGGGACCGTGTGGGGTTGAAAAGCAGAACAATTTTAGGATTCAACAGAGATCATGGCTTTGCAAAAGGATTCTCAAAGAGATTGGCCACTCACTACAGAGACAAGAGGTCTCAGCAGGAAGGACACAAGGACCTCAAAGGCAACCAGGCAAAATCCCCAAAACGCTGCCTCCGGAACCAGCTGTGCCTGGCTCCGATAACTTGTGTCAGAATTCTAAGTTCGTTAGAACTCCCTTCAGAACCGTTTCAAACATCATGTGTTACCTTTTTAGTGGGTTTCTTCTCATACTGCAGGTAGCGGGATTCGACCACTTTTCCTCCTGTAGGGAACACTGTTGGTTTATAACAAAACTACAATAGTGGTGTGTGGAGGCCCCACCCCCACCCCCGCCGAGGGCCACACCACCTCCCCCAGAGCCAGGTGCTATTGGCCCTCCCTGCTCAACAGCAGGAATGGGGGAGCTGGTCCCCCTTGCTCCTCTGAGCCTGCCCTTAAATACCTTCAAGTATGTATGGGACACTATTATATGCAAGAACATTTATGGGGCACCTACTGTGTGCAAAACATGTATGAGACACCTACTGTATACAAGTCCTAGGGCTCCAGGCATAGCCAGAGATCCAAAGGAGCAGAAAGGGGACTCAGGTGGGGAAGGTAAAGAAAGACAGACCTACCACAGACAGCCATCTGTTTGCTTCCTCCTCCTCTCTCCAGCTCACTCCCTGTGTTCATGACCCTGAACGCTGATTCCCCCACTTCCTCCGACCTACTATGATACCACCTTTCACATACCCCCACCCCACCTCTCCCAGCTCAGGACCAACCCCCTGGACACACTCAGCACCAAGGCCCTTTCTCAGACACAGCATCTCCCTGTGACAGTCCAGCCCAGGTCTCCTTCCATCCCTGCCCTTGGGGCATTGAACAAGGATGGAGGAAACCCACCTGTCCTCCAAACCTCAGGGCAGCATCCTGACCCCATGTGGATGGACCTCTGCTCCTGGGTAAGGAGAACCCCCACTTTTGTTGTTAGAGCCAAGCCCCACCCCATGAAGAAACTGCCCTGGAGCCTGGCCGGCGTGGCTTAGTGATTGAGCATCAACCTACAAACTGGTTGATTCCCTGCCAGGGCACAGGCAAGCTTGATTCCCAGTGTGGGTGTGCAGGAGACAGCCGATCAATGATTCTCTCTCATTGATGTTTCTCCCTTTCTCTCTGAAATTTAAACAAAACAAGAAAACCTGCCCTGGAAACTCCTTTCCTCCTCACTCCTCTCCACAGGTCACCCTGTTCATCTCCCTCACCCACCCCCATGGCTCACCCCCACTTCTCTGCTTCCCTTTACAACGCTGACTTTCTCTTCTCCTCCCTTTTCTCCTGAATCCCCCCCATTTCTCCTCCCACCACACACACTGGCTCTCACACCACCACCCCACAGAAGAAATGCATTTCAGCAAGGCCCTCAGACATCCTCAGTGAGCCGCCCTCACACTGAGCCGTCAGCAGCACTGGGCACAGTGCTCGCTCACATGCCGCCTCCTCCTGACACACCTGTGGCCTCCAGGCTGGCTGGCCCGGTGGCTGACAACAGGCTACCTTGCAGACCCACCAGCTGGTGAAGCCTGACCACCTCTAGGCACATCACAGGTCTGGCCCGACTCAGGGCGTCCTTCTGACTTAGTCACCTCCTCGCTCCCCTCAGTCACTGTTCCCAACCAACAGGCTGCTCCTGCACCTGCTCCCCTTCCCAACTCTATTCAGCCCAGCATTTCCTTTGGACCCATAAGCTACCCGCTTCCTGATGTTTTCCCACAGCATCTGCTGTCATCCTGAACCCTGGGTCTCCTTATTCTCCCCTCAGTTCACCACCTGTGTCCCAGACAACCAGCTCCCCAAGGGCAGGGACTTGTGTCCGTTTGGCTTGCTGCCATATTCCACCGCCTGCAGGAAGTAGGTGCTCAACAAGATCAAATGCGCCGAAACTGGTTTGGCTCAATGGATAAGAGCGTCGGCCTGCGGACTGAAAGGTCCCGGGTTTGATTCCGGTCAAGGGCATGTACCTTGGTTGCGAGCACATCCCCAGTGGGGGATGTGCAAGAGGCAGCTGATCAATGATTCTTTCTCATTGATGTTTCTAACTTTCTATCCCTCTCTCTTCCTCTCTGTAAATAATCAATAAAAATATATTTTTAAAAAAAAACAAGATCAAATGCACGATTCTGCATTTTTTCTTGGTGCCTGTAGAGCTCAGAGTCTCCCTGTTTACGGAAGAGACCCGGGGAGAGGGACAGTCAACATCACGCCGTTTGACAGCTAGGTTGAGCAAGACTGATTTCAAACCAGAACTTCACACCAGAATTTGCATCTTCCATTAGCAATTCCAGTTGCAGTGCCACCCCAAGAGGAAAGGAGGTGCACCCGTTAAAGGGGAGCCTGGTGCGGGCCACGGAGGCAATGGTCACCGAGCACGCTCCAGACAGGGAAGAGCTCAGCGCACGGGTGGGCTCAGACAATCAGGAAGGCGGTACCTAGAGGCAAGGCTGGGTCAGGCAGGGTCCAGGAAGAGAGTCAAGCCAACCCAGTGTCTGCCGCCGGACATGAGGGACTGGGGCAGAGGACACCCCTGGTTCCAAGAAGGCTTGGCCATCCTGTGCTGGGTGTTGCATAGTCAGGAAAAAATCTGGGGCTCTGGGTTTCTTGGACAATTGAAAGCAGTTTCAAGTTTCCAGAAAACTAGTTCGCATCTGTTTGTTTTAAACGGTGGTGGGTTTTCCACAGCGTTACAGTGAAGGATAGAGTTTGTGTTCAAGAACCAGACCACATGCAAATAGATGTTACGGACAAGATGCTGCTCTAAGTTCTCTGAGATGTGCACTACCAGAGCACACTTTAATATTTCAGCCCTGACTGGTTTGGCTCAGTGGACAGAGCGTCAGCCTGCGGACTGAAGGGTCCCAAGTTCGATTCTGGTCAAGGGCATATACCTTGGTTGTGGGCACATCCCCTATAGGGGGTGTGCAGGAGGCAGCGGATTGATGTTTCTCTCTCATCGATGTTTCTAACTCTCTCTCCCTCTCCCTTCCTCTTTGTAAAAATCAAGAAAATATATTAAAAAAAGAAAAGAAAAAAATATATTTTAAATATATACATTGTATTCATTTTTAAATTTTTATTATTTTTTTAATATATTTTACTGATTTTTTACAGAGAGGAAGGGAGAAAGCTAGAGAGCTAGAAACGTCAATGACAGAGAAACATTGACCAGCTGCCTCTTGCACACCCCCAACCGGGGATGTGCCTGCAACCAATGTACATGCCCCTGACTGGAATCGAACCTGGGACCTTTCAGTCCGCAGACCAACGCTCTACCACTGAGCCAAATTGGTTTCGGCTAAAAGAAAATATTTCATTTCAGAGGCTTTAGCTCCAACATGGAAGATCCTCAAGTCAATTGGGCACTGCCAAGATCAAGGGGGCTGTTCATAATGACCCCAAACCCTCAGGTGGACATGGGACATAGGGGCACCCCCAAAAGGACTGATATGCTTTAAGAGAAGAGATTTAGGAAATTCTGATGTTTGATAATGAACTCAAGTTCTCTTCATCCACACTTGCAAGTGACAAGTCCCGGGCCTAACCCCAAATGAGCCCTACCCAGTCCTGCCACAACCCTGGGTGCAGGTGGGGCTGGGTGACCAGACTGGAAATCTCCCAAGGTGTGAACACAAGAAGGTAAAACCATATCTCCCTTTGTCTGCTCTGTTTTGTTTTTTATTACCCAAAAACATTTACTAGAAAAAAAATCACTTTTTATTTCACGGGATCATAAGGTAGACTCTAAGTTGACTCACCTTGCATTTGCTTTCCTTTCGGCCTGGAGCCACTGGGAGTACTGGGATCCCCTGCAGAAAGCATCCTAAAACAGAGGGCAGGGTCTTGTTAATGTAGTTGACAAGGAGCTGAGGGAAGCCCGTGAGCAGCTCAGGTTTCTCTTCGAGGCTGGGCCACGTGGACAGGAAGAACATGGAGCCCCATCACCTGGGGTGACCGAGTAGCCCCATGGAGCAAGAAGAGTGAACATTTTTGCCGGACCTCAAAGATCTCAACCTAAGTCATGAGCTCAATAATTCAGCAGGGAGCCAAAACCGGTTTGGCTCAGTGGATAGAGCGTCAGCCTGCCAACTGAAGGGTCCCGGGTTCGATTCCGGTCAAGGGCATGTACCTTGGTTGCAGGCACATCCCAGCAGGGGGTATGCAGGAGGCAGCTGACCGATGTTTCTCTCTCTCCGATGTTTCTAGCTCTCTGTCCCTCTCTCTTCCTCTGTAAAAAATCAATAAAATATATTTTAAAAAAATAATAATTCAGCAGGTGGTTATGTGCCTACTGTTTGCCACTAGGGGTGCACGGTGAACGACAGATGGAACTCGCTCCGTGAGAGGGAAGAGCAACACCTTTCTGTTGGGCTCAGGTGAAGGTACCCAGAAGGTAAGGGGATGGGGGAGGAGATAATGCACCTTTTGCTCAGGTACACTGGGAAGGGCATTCCAAGACAGGGATCAACAAGACCCAAGGTATGAGGGAGGGCAATGGAGAACGAGGTGGAAGCAGAAAATGGTCAGCCCTGTGGCTTAGCTTAGAGAATATTGGCAGGGGTATGGGATTAGGAGGAGAGCACACTGGGCCAGTTCAGCAGCTCTGAACGCCCAACATAAGGGCTTGGACCTGGTCCTATAGCCCAGGGGTTGGCAGTCTTTCTCTGTAAAGGGCCAGATGGTATATTTGCAGCTCTGTGGGCCATGTGCTTAGTCACAACTATTCAACCTTGCCATTGTAGCACAAAGCAGCCATGATGACTCAAAGAAATGGGTATGGCTATGTCCCAATAAAACTTTATTTATACAATGATATTTGAAGTTTATACAATGTTCACATGTCCAAACATTCTTCTATTGATGTTTTTTAACAACCATTTAAGAATGTACAAACCATCTCAGCTAGCCAGCCATACAAAAAAGGGAGCGCTCTGGCTTTCCCTGTAGGCTCCTGGGGAATAGACAGCCATGTTTCATGAAGACTGCTGGCAGACAGACAGGCTCTAAGGTTCTAGAAGGACAGAGACCAGATCTGCTCCTCTTTGCCTATATATTCATCTGCTCGAGCTTCCATCACAAAATGTAAGACTAGAAGGCTTAAATAGCAGATTTTTTTTTTTAAAAAATGTCTTTATTGCCCTAACCAGTTTGGCTCCGTGGATAGAGCGTTGGTCTGCAGACTGAAGGGTTCCAGGTTCGATTCCAGTCAGGGGCATGTACCTTGGTTGTGGGCACATCCCCAGTAGGGAGTGTGTAAGAGGCAACTGATCAATGTTTCTCTCATCGATGTTTCTAACTCTCTATCCCTCTCTCTTCCTCTCTATAAAAAAAAATCAATAAAATATATTTTTAAAATTCTTTATTGTTTAGTATTACATATGTCTCCTTTTTCCCCCATTGACTTCTCCCTGCCCCCCCCCCCACACACACACACACCCAGCCCCAGCACATGCCCTCACCTGCCTAGTGTCTGTGTCCATTGGTTATGCTTATATGCATGCATAGAAGTTCTTTGGTTGATCTCTTACCCCCTTCTCCCCTGCCTTCCCTCTGAAGTTTGACAGTCAGACTTTTAATTCTCAACCAAGGGTATGTTTTTTATTGATTTTAGAGAGAAGGAAGAGAGAGGGAAAGAGAGAAACATCAATGTGAGGAAAAAACATCGACTGGCTGCCTCCTGCAGGAACGAACCCATAACCTGGGTAAGTGCCCTGACTGGGTGAGGAATGGGGAGCGCTAATGGATATAGGGCTTCCTTCTGGACTGAAGAAAACATTCAAGAGCAGAGGTGGTGGGTGCACAACACTGTCTTTATGCCACGGAATTGCTCACCTTACAATAGTTAATTTGATGTCCTGTGCATTTTGCCTCCATTTGAAAAAAGAGAATGAAGCCTGACATAATAGATGAGGGAACAATGAGGAAGGAATCGCTGACAAACCAGCTGTGGGGTGCGGGGAGTCTGGAATGCCTCCCAGGTTAAATGGGGACGCCAGGAACAGGAGACTAGCCCTGCGGTAGGAGCAGGCTGAGGGGCCAGGCTGAGACCTGGGCACTTGGACTCCAGCTGACATCACAGGCTCCACTAGTTCCAGCAGCAATGGTCACTGCTCAGTTCACTGCAGCCACCTCCTGTGTAGCTGGGGCGGGGGACCCCAAAGTGAGACCCAGGCCATAGCGGGAGGCATCTCCAACCCTACAAACATACCTACCTTTGGCCTGCTCTATCTATTTTCCAAACAGGGGCCGGAGGCTTAAACAGGTCACCCCCTAGTTAGTCTCAATGCTGGAAAGGGAAAGAGCAAGGACTCCTTTGGATCTGGAGCCAAACAAAATGAGCTCAGGCCAAAACGGCAGGGACCTGGGGTAAAGGTTGGGGTTGGGGGTCACTACACCTGTGCCAGCCTCAGGTACCACCTCCTTACTGTAGCTCAGAGAAGCTATTATCCATCTCACAGTTAGGGCAACGGGCAGAGGAGGAAATACAAGTGATTTCTGGGGCCTATTTAATTTTCCTTCTCGTTGGCACAATACACATTAGCCGAATGAACAAATAAGACAAAACACAGCCCTGGATCACGCCTGGCACCACGTATGGGTTCATCGCCTTTCTTGTCCCTGCCCTGTGACTCTTGGCAAATGGCCTTCCCTCCCTGAGCCTCCACCATCCACCTCATCAGTAAATGGGGAGTATATGAGAAGGCGGGTGGGAAGAGTAAAAGAGACCTTGTAATGGCCCGGCACATGTCCACTCCAAAGCGATTATTTCCAACAGCGACAGGTCCCATTCTAAGTGCTTTCGAGGCTCACGTGACACCTACAAGTTGGGCGGTGGCGTCATCAGCCCCGATTCGCAACGTGGGAAGCGAGGTCGCGGAAAACTTAAGTCACTTGCCGGCGATGACACCCCTTATCCCCCCACATCGAAGTGGCAGACCTAGGACTCGAACTCGCGGTCTACCCTCGCGCCCGCTTTCCCAGCCTGCGCAGAGGGCGCACCCCGGGGCTTCCCAGAACTTGCACATCTTGAGTGGTTCCCAGGAGGGTCCGGTCCGGACTCACCCGAGGGTCCCCGTTTCCTAACTGGGCTGCCGCGGCCTCCCCAGCCACCGGCCAACGGCTTCCCTCCGGCAACCACAAAGTCCAGACCCGCGGATTTCAACTCACCCAGAGCCGCGCCCCGAGGAGTCCGCCATTTTCCCGCCTTCCACTCAAAGGCGGGCTCGTCACGCTCCCTCGCCCCGCGCCCTCCGGAGGGGTGGCCGTGGGCCGCGGGGAGAGCGAGTGCAGGCGGAGCGGGCGATCCCAGCGCGCGCGCCGCTCGGGCCTCCCCCACACTTGGTTCCGCTCACCAGTGAGGGAGGCCGTCGTCTGGGCCCTAGGCCCCGCCCCCGGAAGTGGGCGTGTGCCGGGAGCAGCCAGTAGGGGCGGAGTTTGTGGCGCCCCGCCCCTCGGCGCGCTGGCGTCACGCCCCGCCCCGCCCCTCCGGGACCCGGAAGCGGGAGCGCGCAGGGGAGCGGCGGGCGCGGCGGGGCGGAGCGGAGCGGAGCGGCCGGAGGATTGTTGGGCGGGCGGGAGGGCGGGCGGGCTGGCCGGGGACCCGGCCCGGGACCGGCGGCGGCGCGCGGCGGCTGAGGCCCAGGTGAGTGCTTCCGACCGCGGGTGGGGGCTCCGTGTCGAAGCTCGCGTCGGCGGGCTGCAGTGGAGGGACGGAGCTGAGGGGGGCTATGGGAGTGTGTGGAGGCAGGGATGGAGTGGGGGGCGGGAACGCGCTTGGGGGTCGTGGAGGGGTGGCCGGAGTCGGCGCGCGAGCTGGATGGGACAGAAGAAAGTTGGTGGGACGGGCCTCGGAGAGGAGTTTGTCGGCGCGTGGGGGCGGTAGGTCTTGTGGCTTTGAGCAGCTCCTCTGAAGAGGACGTGGCTTCAGTGGTAGTTGAGGGGTCGCAGGAAACGGGTCTGGGAGGGGTAGAGGCTAGGAGGCGGTGTTGAGGGGCCCACGCGGGGATGGGGGGGAGGCAAGGCTGGTGGGGGCGGGACAGCTTGGGTGCGATCGGGGAGAAAGGGGTGCAGGATAGCCTGGGGGCGTCTGTCCGCAGCTGAAGGGGTGGAAGAACGAAGAACGGTGCCTGAGGCAGGGCGGCGCCTGGGACTCAGTGGGTGTTCATAAATGCAAGAGGCTCTGACCCGCTGGTGCGGTGGCCCGCTCAGTTGGGAAGAGGAACATAGGCGGAGGAAGGGAGCAAAAGAGGGTAGAAACTATGGCAAGGACCGAGGGCCTGTCCAGGGAGGGCCTGGGGAAGAGGGGGAAGGAAGGACTGTAGAGTGACCCCGTTCAGATGTTGGGATGCAGCCCGCGGACATTGGTAGGGGCTTCTCTGGATTCATCTTCTCAGTTTCACCCCCAGCCGCTGGGTGACCCTGGGTGAGTCCCAGCGCTCTCTGGGCCAGGATTCCGGACTGGAAAACCACACAACTCTTCTGTTAAGACCTGGCTGGCTGAAGCCCTGGGGGATGGGGGAGAGGGGGGGTGTAGGGTGTCCCCACGAGCAAGGAAGCAGACTCTGGGCCCTCCTTGGGACCGGAACTGGGTTTCAGAGGGGAGGGAGTGCATGTGCACGCTCCCTGTGTGCTAGGCTGTCACCACCTCCTCGCAGTTGCATCCTTGGACTTAAATGGGTAAAACGACATACAGGAAATCTGTCCTTCAGCGGCTGTGAGCTCAGCCCCAGAGGCAGCCAGCGTGCCCTGCTTCTCTTTGGTATGCCTGAAGACCAGGGGTCTCAAAAGGAGAGCTTCTCCTGCACTCTTTGTCTGAGGTAGAGACATGGTGCCCTACAGTTGGAGGGTCCCAGCTCCTACCTTGCTGTGTTCAGGTCTAGGGATCTCCAGGCTCTCAAGCTACCCAGGAGCAGTAGGAGGTGACAAGGGCAGCTGGAAAGTTGTTTTCCATCTGATGGGCCCGATTCTGGCAAGGGCCTTGCATGGGGCGATTTTGATCAGCATTCATCTCTCCCCTTTCCTGACCAGTGAACCTTGTCTGGGATCTACCAGAGGGCTGGGGAGCCGCGGCTTATAGCTCATACAGGAGATAAATCTGGATAGCTTGAATGTAAAGAGGATCACAGAAAGATAGCTACCCCCTTCACTTCCAGAATGTTCTGGTCCTTATGAAAGGTGGCTCCAGGATACTCATTCAGAGCCCAGTCACGCCTTCTGCAGACACTGAGCATGGACTTGCCCTGGCCAGAACAGCCCCAATAAAGAAGACCAGAACCTTCTGGTTGCATGGCCCTGGCTGCTTTCTCCTCCCTGCACCAGGAGCATGGTCAGGGAGACTCTCTTGGAGGGTGGTCTCATGTTGGGGTTTCTCACCTCCGTCAAGTATTTTTGTTTCTTCACCTGCAAAATGAATGACTTGACCTCATTCAGCATTTCTCAACTTTGAAACCCAACCCCTCCTGATAATCTTGGTGTGCCCAACACACAGCCCCCTTGGATTTTATGCAGCCCCCCAACTGGTGATTCCCCCTCCCTGCTGCAGTGGTTTGGCCTTCTATTCTACAATTTATATCCAAAAATCGTTTAAAAAACAAACAAACTGCACTTTCATGTTTCAAATGGAAAGTTTGCAGTGCCCAAATTGCTTTGCACACCACGCTTGTTCGCAAAGCTCTAACTGCATCCTGTGGCTGGAAACTGCTGGGTGAGACAGTCCCCTCAGGTCCAGGCCTATGACTCCAAGAAACAGGTGAGACACAGGAATCTCCCATTCGTTCAGCTGTAGGATTCATTCTCCGTCCCCAATAGGGGCTTGTTAACTTGCTGCTTCCCTCTCCTCATCTCCTCGAAGTTGTGTGTCTTGGGTGGACCCAGTGTTCACTTAAGCAAGGGCTAGTAGTGCTGGGGGCTGGTTCCAGGGCACAGAGATGAGTATGTGCCCCCTCCCCCACCCCAACAGGAATAGTGGAGGTGAGTGGCAGTCGGTTCAGCAACAGAGCTAGCTCAAGAAGTCATAGGAATAGAATGAGGAATGACGAGTGCAAGCTTCAGGGCTTGGGAATTCCTGCAATTTCTCCGGAAGACCTGGCTGGGCTCAGGCCAAGCCTTGAAGGATATGGAGGTGTGAAATGAAACCTGGAAGGCAGATTTGCACAAGCAGGTTCCTGCGCAGCACTATCCTTCTGTGATAGGCACTTTCGTTTCCAACTCTTTTGTTCCTCAAGGAGGGCCTGGTTCCTGTTTTCTCAGGATGGATACTGAGGCTCAGGGAGGTGGTGACTTCAGAGATGGCTCCCAGGGTGATCTAGAAACTGGAAGGATCATGAGTAACCCCAAATGGGTGAGGACCAGATCTCTAGAGCAGAGTTACTCACCTGCAGCAACATTCACATTTGGGACTGGGTCTTTTTGCTGAGGGGTCAGGGTCCCATAAATTTAGAATATTGAGCAGCATCCCTGGCTCCCACCCATCAGATGCCAATAGTACCCACCCCTCAAACCAAAAACGCCTCCAGACATACTGTGTGTCTCTTGAGGGCAGAATTGCCAACAGCAAGAACCTCTGCTCTGTAGTAAAATCTGGCTCCTGCCCCAGGCCCACCAACGCCTCAGTGGATCCGTGGGGTAAGTTGAGCTACTTGTGAGCTGCCGTCAAGAGCAGGAGTGGGGGAAAAGAGGTCAGCAACTGAATTCTGCCATCCAGACAGTTCTTAATCTGGAGACTGAATAAAAAGGAGGCACCACTGGGAACGGACCAGGGGGGAGTTGGACAGCACACATCAAGAATGGCCGGCAGAGGAGGGACAGGAGATGAGCGGGGGCTGTCTGCCTTCGCCCAGACAGCCGTGCCATTGTCTTTCCCTTCTTTGTCTCACCACTGACCTGGATTTCTGCAGGAACCATCCTTGCCTTGGCACAAATTGTTGCTTTTCTTCTGAGATTAGAGGTATTTGATTCTCTTTTCAAGAGCTACTTTGGAGGTGATCCCGGATCAAGGTGGCTCTGGAAGCTACATTATGTTCTCATGTTTGCCCTCTTGTCTCCAGGAGCCAGTCCATCTTAAAAAAAAATGTTAGACACATTGTCTAACTTTTGCGCCTAGAGCATGCTTCTCTGCTTGTTCCCCAACTGTGACGCTGCTGTAACTCCATGCGAGGAAATGCACGTTCTGGGGCCTTCCGGAGCCCTCGGGGGGCCATGTCCCTCCTCCCCTTCTTTCCCACCCACCAGCCCTTTGTATGTCCCCGAGTCCCCAACCAACTGTGCCAGGCAGCCCCTGCTCGGCTGCCCCACAGAGCAAGACAGGCCCTTCTCTCTGTCCTCCTGGGTAGAGGGAGTCACAGAACAAAGGGTTCTGTCTGAGCACTGCCAGGCCCCTGAAGAGCCAGCCTGCTGCCGCCACTGCAGAGCCCCAGCGCTTCACCTCTCCGGTTCTCATTTCGACCCAGAAAGGGTCTCAGAGAGCGGGCATGTCTCAGAAATGCAGTTTGGGTTCTACTCATTTCCTCGTCGAGACTTTTTTTCCTCGCCGCCGCTGTCGCCGCCGCCGGATCCCAGTGATAAATAAAGTAGTGATTCAAGCATTTGGCCTGGGGATTAGTCAGAGTGACGAATAAGCTGACCTGGTCTGACTCATTCATTTATATCCCAGCTCTGCCCTGCTTCGTGGGTCTGTATGTGTGAGAATGAGCTTTTCACTGCTGTCACTGATGGCTGTGCGAGTTTCCTGCGGCAGCCATAAAAAAAGTACCCCGGACATGGCCAAGTGCTGCTCAGTGGTTAGAGTGTCGATCTGCACACCAAAGGGTTGGGTGTTCGATTCCGAGTCAAGGGCATGTTCCTGGGTTGCAGGTCCTATCCCAGCCCCAGTCAGGGCATATGCAGGAGGCAGCCAATCATTGTGTCTCTCTCATATCAATAGTTCATTTTTTCACACTCTCCCTTTCCTTCCCCTCTCTTTCTAAAAAAAAAAAAAAAAAAAGCAATAAAAATATATATCCTCAGGTGAGGATAAATAAATAAGTGAATAATAAAGGCTCTGTCTCCAAAGACAGTCACATTCTGAGATGTTGGCTTTTAGGACTTCAACACAATAAATTGGGGAAAGGGGGTGCAGACACACAATTCAGCCCATAACACTGGGTAAGGGGCCAGTTTTATTTTTATTTAGTAAAGGGGTTTGGGGCAAATAGTTGGC